AAGATGAGTCTCAGAGGAATAATAAGAGCGATGGAAGTATTTCTAAACGCAGGAAATCATATAGATTGACTTTCTCATGTGGTTTACGTTTCATTTCCTTCCTCTTCATGCAGCGTCTCCAGCCCCCCGGAAGGGGAAGAAAGTCCTCGTCCGGGAGTACAGCTCTCCAGTTCTGCGGATTCGTGACCACTGGAAGTGGTCGGGGAGGATGGAATCTATTTTGGGTTCTCTGTCGGATCTCTCTCAGTGCCTGACAAGGGGGGGGGCAGCCCGGGGACACTTCCCAGTGCAGAGAACTGCTGGCCCTCAAATGGACGAATTGGAGTTAGAACTTTAGGCTCACGTGTTGGAGGGACATACAAGGCAAACTCACTTTTCTGTGTTTCTATTTATCTGTCACCCTCACTGAACCCGGCTAATCTGTAAACTGTCCTTCTTTATGTTCCCCAGCTGAAATGCACATCAGACTGGCGGTTGGGAGTGCCTTTGTTATTTTATTTTTTTCTGAGCGTAGCTAACAATCACAGACTGAATTTCTGAATATTTTAGTTCTCCTGCATTGAAGGGATTGGGGCGAAGTCATTAAACGGCAAACAGAGATCAGGCGTGAGTCAGGAGGGCCGTTGTGAATGACTATAGCACAGGGGTGGGCAACTCCGGCCCTCCAGCTATTGTGGAACTACAACTCCCATGAGGCATTGGAAGACTGACAGCCACAGGCATGACTCCCAGAGGTAGATGCTTGATGGGCCAAAGTTGCCTACCGCCTACTAGAGCAAAAGCTGACAAGGTAGCGGGGTTGCCATCTCATCGCTGTAAATCTTATCACAGCTCTGTGCTGTGGGAAGCTGCATAGAGCTGAGGACTCTCTACTCGCCCCCCATGTGACAGCACTGGGCCAATCAGAAGTGCTGTGACATTCGTGGAGGGAAATGGGTCATGTGCTCCTTGATGCCTGGAAGTACTGGGTATTTCTTTGCTCATTGTGGATGAGCGCATTGATGGATGAGGGAGAAGGTTGGCATGTGCTGCTGGGGAGGGGGTGTGGCATTAAAGCAAATCTGTTGTTTAGCCCGGCATAGGCAAAGTCCAGGCTTGCTTCAATCACAGACACACAAGGGTCTATTTATAAACCATTTGCAAAGCCATTTGCCCCACAAATCTCTGTGAATGTCCATTCTGTGCGAATAGAATGAAATGTTCTTTTCAGGGTAAACGTAATGTAATGCCACAGTACGGCCACTAGATGGAGCTGAGGAGATTAGAAAAGTATTTATTTCCCATGCCCCTCATCGGTCATGATACCGTATTACATTAAATTGTGAAGATGGCGCTTAGGAAAGAAGTGTTAATAAGCATTTATTTCCTGTGCTCCTCAGCTCCACCTAGTGGCCATAATGATGTATTACATTACATTCGACCTGAAAAGAAAGAGACCCCATAAACTAAACAGATTAGGCCAAAGTGAGGTGCACTGCGTACATTCAACCACAGGACACATACCATTTCAATATGTCAGTAAATAAAGCTGGACTTCAGGATCATGAACACTTTTGACCCTTTTCTCCCTTTCCTCACTTTTTTTAAATAAAAATAAATGAACTTTTTTGAATAATTAATGCTTTTATTTTGTGTGATGTCATCGGCTCCTTCTTTCAGGTTTACTTCACTCGTTTGGAAATGGAGGGGGCGCTACGCTCCAGACAAATCCTGCTCCACAGGTGCTCAGTCACGGGAGTCGGCTTCCTTCTCGTCTCAGCCGCACATCAATGTAACACGTTAAAGGAGAACTATGGGGTCAGGGCTTTTCCCCATAGTTCTCCTTAGGGTAACGGGAGGACACAAACTAGCGTCCTCCCATCACCCAAAGCTCAGTATACCGCGAGCTACAGCTCTCTATATACTGAGACGCCGCAGCTGAAACGGATCCCGACAATTCTGTCTTGATCCACCCAGCTGCGTGAGTGACAGCTGGCTCTGCCTATCTAGAGGCAGAGCCAGCTGTACCCGCCCCCTCCCCCGTCCGTTCCGCCAGTCAGCGCTGGAGGATCAGACAGGGGAGGAATCCCTGCAGGGAGCCGTGAGTGACAGTCACGGCTCTCTGCAGGCACAGGATCGAGAAGCGAGCGACAGTATGTGTTCCCTTACTTCCCGATCTATTGAGCCGACGTGTGACAATTTCATTGTCACACGTCTGGTCGAACTATGAGGCTGAGTGATTTTTACTCGCCTCATAGTTCTCCTTTAAACGATCCTTCACATGGAGTGGGTGCTCTCCTTTTTGTCATTCTGTATATATAAACAGGTCCATAGAGGAAACGTAAAAACTGTTCTGGCCCAAAAGGGATTCTACGGGTACAACAGCTGAAGTGGTTAACTACCTATCTAGAGTCAGAGCCAGCTGTACCCGCCCCCTCCGCCAGTCAGCGCTGGAGGAACGGACAGGGGAGGGGGGAATACAGTCCCTTCCCTGTCACAGCTCTCTGCCGGCACAGGATCCCTCCCAAATTTAAAGTTACACACAAAAAAGAATAAAAAAACAAAAAAAATGTTTAAAGTCCCCACCCATACATACACATGCGTCGGGGGCGCATACGTGCAAAAAAGACGATTACGCAGCACATGTTACATATCGCCGCGAACGTCCGAGTGAGAGCTATAAGTCTAGGGCCATCAATCACTGATAACACTAAACTGATGAGCGGTAAAAGCTTTTAAAGTGTCGCCTATGGCCAATTTTGGGTATGGTAGTTTTCAGTACAGCGTTGCATGACGGAATAAACGTCAGTCAAAGTACTGCAGCGCTGAACACTGAAAAATGGCCTGGCCAGGAAGGGGGTCTAAACACCTGGTCTTGAAGTGGTTAAAGGAAGGAGCCGCGCTCCTATTCAGTAATTATGACGCATATTCAATTAAATCCTCATACATAGCAGTCGCACGGATGCATTTCACATAGTATGAGCCTAATGGTAATTTAATATGACGCTCATAGTGAGTGAAGCGCGTAAAAAGAGCCCCAGTGGGCTGCATATGTACCAGGATTTGACTTAGTATACGCCATGATAATGGAATGCGGCTCTTTTGTATACTGTGTTATATTGATGAACGGCTCAGACAAGGTGGGAGCTGCCACCCGTGATTGAGTGGCTGGGGGAGGGATTTAGGCAGGCGGTGTACAGCGAAAAACCAATGCGCTTCGCAAAGGGGGGAAATAGGGACTACATTTCCCATGATGCTTTGGGAATACACTATGCAGCCAGTGCTCCGGGCCGCTCCTTGATTGTTGGCAGGTCATGAGTGGGTGTTGCGGTGAACGTGCCCGCCCACTGTAGGAAGCGTGATGTAAGCACGCTAAAAAAATGGACGAACGTACCCACTTGCCGTCCGCCCGTAGTAAAAAAACGTACGGACGGCACTGCAGCATTGGCGGGTTGCCGTCGCCAGACGGGCACGCACGGGCAGAAAAGACCCGACCTACCATTGTAGCACAATGCCAGGCTATCTCTGGCCAGAGGTATGGATGGAGTATTGTGTATTAATAGTATTTATTTATTGTCATTTGATATAAATTAGGGATGCAACGATACCGATGCCAGTAAAATGCCCCGACACTAAGCGCCGGCACTTTAAATGTTTAAACACAAGCGGCTGCAGTGAGCTCCCGCACTTGCGGGGGACCTCATGGCAGTCTTGTGGGGACCTTGTGGTGGCTGTTTACAGCACCGGCCAGCCAAACATTTCCTTTGGAGATCGCACACAGCCCTGGGGAAATCGCACACAGCCCTGGGGAGATCGCACGCAGCCCTGGGGAGATTGCATGCAGCTCTGGGGAGACTGCGAACCTCCTTTTGAGACCACGCACAGCCCTGGTCAGACCGCACAGCCGCCCGAGACCCCGCACAGCCCTGGTGAGCAACACAGAGCCTGTAGCTTCATATTATTCTGTATTGCTATATAATGTATTGCTGAGATTTGTAGTCCCTCTACTGCTAGGACTTAGTGGGACCGCATGCAACCCTTGGGAGACCGTGCACATCCTTCTGAGACCACGCACCGCCCTGGTGAGACCGCACACAGCCCTGGTCAGACCGCACAGCTGAGACGCCGCACAGCCCCGGTGAGCAACACAGAGTATGTAGCTTCATATTATACTGCATTTCTATATAATGTATTGCTGAGGCCCGGGCACTCCACCACTATATTGTTTTAGAAAAACTGTCACGACACTAAATAAAAGGTATCGGTAATTGGTATGGGCGAGTACTTGAGGAAAAGTATCGGCACTCGTACTCGGCCTGGAAAAAATGGCACCAGTGCATCCCTAATGTAAATATCACCGGTGACATGTATTACAATTTCACTTCCATATCAGTGGTGACAGGCTCTCTTCAGCATCCCATGATGCTTTGCGTGTGCCATTTATTGCAATGTAACTTGAATCTGATTAATGACAGGTTCTCTTTAGCATCACCAGCCGCTCATGAAGCTTTGTGTGCACAGTGAGTGTGTGGTGAGAGGCTGAGCGAGGCCCGGGTTGCAGCATGAGCTCACAGCTCCGCAACCATTCATCTTTCATTACATCCCGAGAGTTTGCAGCACTGTACAATAAACAATTTGTCAATAAAGATAATTTGCTGCAAAAAAATGGCGGCCTCGAAAAAAAAATAACCCGCCCTCGTCCAGCAGGCAGGGGGCGTGGCCAGACTCTGGGCTGCGGATTCCTCAGACGGCATACGGCGCTCCGGTGACGTCACTGTCTGGGGAAGCGGGCGGACATGTTAGATGTGGGCAGTCGGTATTCCACCGATCTGTCGAGCCTATGAGGAACGGAGACGATAGGTTCTTCCAAATGTGCCAACTCGTGCTGTCGCCGCCGCTCTCCGCTGGGGGCTTTCGGCTGTGCTCCGAAGACGGGCAGCCCACACGGCGCTGCCCTTAGTTAAGATGGAGGCAGCAGCGGGAGCCTGAGCTTGCGCATACACGCGGCAGGAAGCGGAGGGGAGGGGGGTCGCGCGCAGACCGGTTCACGCGCTTCCCCGCGGGGACCGGAAGCGGAAGCGGCGCGAGAAGCTGGGGGGAACCCGGAGGCTGAGAGGGAGCGAGGTGATAACGTGTGAGGTAAGAGTGTGTGTGTCTGTAGGTTGCCGTGACGTCACGGGGCTGCATACCCCTCTCCAGACGGGGCTCGGGCTTCCTGCCGAGGCCCCTTGACTCCCGGTGTCATGGCATTGTGGGCATTGTGCCCCCTGGGGGCGTCTGGGGCACCTTTAGGGCCCCACTGCCCTCTTTGCATCTCCTGGCTTTCGCTAGGACTGACCAGTGTCTCAGGCTAGGGAGGTTAGTCCCTGCTCCCTCAAACAAGCCATTACACTGGCCTTTTCTTCTTGTGCCCCCCCCCCCCATGT